ATTCTGGGCATAAGCGGTTAGTACAGCTTGCTACTTGATTGACCGCGGACCACACACAAGCATATAGGGCAAGACACCTATGGAGATGTGGTCAGGAAGAGCTGCTGATTATTCAAATCTGAAAGCTTTTGGTTGTACGGCTTACAATCACGTCAGTGAAGGTAAGTTAGAACTAAGAGCTAAAATGGGAGTATTTGTGGGCTACGGAGATAGAGTGAAAGGTTTCAGAATCTGGTCTCCAGCAGAAAAGAGGGTTATTATGAGCAGGAACGTTGTCTTTGAGGAAAGTTCTCTGCTTAGAACCATTGTGAAGCCTACAACTACGTCAGAAACTGGGAGTCTTGATAAACAGGTGGAGTTTCAAGTCATTCAAAACGAGAGCGATTTGAAAGAACCTGAAAAGGAGGATCAAGAGCCATAGACAGAAACTGATATTCCAGAATCTATGCCATCAGATATACATCGGAGTATAACTCAAGATCGGCCAAGGAGGGTTGGAGTTCGGCCACCTACGAGGTATGGTTTTGAGGACATGGTGGGTTTGCACTGCAGGTTGTTGAAGAGGTAGATACATCTGAGCCGTCTACTTACAAAGAAGCTATTTTAAGTCCTGATTCTGGAAAATGGTTTGCTTCTATGGGAGATGAGATGGAGTCCCTACACAAGAATCAGACATGGGATCTGGTCATAAAGCCTTCGGGGAGAAAGATTATTACTTGCAAATAGGTTTTCAAGAAGAAAGAAGGGATATCACCAGCAGAAGGAGTCAAGTATAAAGCCAGGGTTGTGTTGCCAGAGGTTTCAACCAAAGAGAGGGAGTGGACTACAATGAGATCTTCTCACCAGTGGTCAGACATACTTCCATCCGAGTGTTACTAACGATAGTTACACATCAGAATCTGGAGCTTGAACAACTTGATGTAAAGACAGCGTTTCTACATGGAGAGTTGGAGGAAGAGATATACATGACTCAGCCGGATGGTTTCCAAGTTCCAGGGAAGGAATATCACGTCTGCAAGTTGAAGAAGTCCTTATATGGACTAAAGCAGTCTCCAAGGCAGTGGTACAAAAGGTTTGACAACTATATGGTGAAGTTGGGCTATACTCGTAGCTCATATGATTGTTGTGTCTACTACAATAGGCTCAAGGATGATTCATTCATCAATCTGGTGCTTTATGTAGATGATATGCTGATAGTTGCAAAGAAGAAGTATGACATTCAGAAGCTGAAGGGTTTACTTAGTGCTGAGTTTGAGATGAAGGATCTAGGAGCCGCTCGAAAAATTCTAGGGATGGAGATCATTAGAGACAGAGAGAGAAGGAAATTTTTCTTGTCACAGAGAAGCTACATTCAGAAGGTCTTGGCGAGGTTTTGCATGTCTTCATCTAAGCCTATTGATACCCCCAGTGCTGCCAATATCCATCTCACTGTCATGTTCGCTCCACATTCAGAAGAAGAGAAGGAGTATATGTCACGAGTCCCTTATGCCAGTGCCGTAGGAAGTTTGATGTATGTTATGGTCTGTACAAGGCCAGATTTAGCACATGCAGTCAGTGTAGTGACCAGATTCATGGGACAACCAGGGAGAGAACATTGGCAGGCTGTGAAGAGAATTTTCTGGTACCTTAGAGGTACATTTGACGTTGGTCTCATTTATGGAGGTGATACTCAGTGCTTGGTTACTGGCTATTCTGATTCTGACTATGCTGGAGATGTTGACACAAGAAGCTCGATGACTGGCTATGTGTTTACCCTTGGAGGATCTGTCGTCAGTTGGAAGGCAACTTGCAACCTACAAAGACTTTGTCTACTACGGAGGCAGAGTACATGTCAAGAGGCTGAAAAAGAAGGGATTTGGCTGAAAGGGCTGGTTAGTGATCTTGGTCTGCATCATGATCAGGCTACGGTGTATTGTGACAGTTTGAGTGCAATTTGTCTAGCCAAGGATCATGTCCATCATGAGAGAACTAAGCATATTGACGTGAGGTATCATTTTCTGAGAAGTGAGAAGAGAATCAAAGTGAAGAAAGTAGGAACTGCTGATAATCCTGCTGATATGTTCACAAAGCCGGTTCCACAGAGCAAGTTTCAACACTGTTTGGACTTTCTCAACATCAGAAGCTGTTAATTGCCCTGTGGGGCAATTCTGAGGAAGAGGGGGAGGCCTGACACTATCATAGTGCGTCTGAAGAATCTGTTTGGAGAATTCAAGTCAAGGTGGAGATTTGTTGAATGCGTTGAATCGGACCCGTTACAGCATAAAAACGGGGGTCTCGCTGCCCGGTCAGCGAGTCGGGGGGTCCAGGGGGGCGACGCGCCCCCTGGCCTGGGGGTCCGGGGGAAGGGGGGCGGAGTCGCCCCCGGCCCGACGGTATACAATGTTGTTGTATTGGGCCCTTAGTTATCTGTCAATTCTGTATTTTGGGCCCAAGCCAGTTAGGGCGTAGCTTAGCACTATATATAGACGCTATGGCAAACCCTATTCCGTATTCTGTTCTTGCCTCTCCATAATAAAACTGCTCCCCCTCTTCCCGTGGACGTAGCCAAATTATTGGTGAACCACGTAAATCTGTTGTCTTATTTTTCGCGTTTATATTTTCTCGTATTATCTCGAATTCCGCATAACAAGCTTACTTGATATTATTACTTATGGTATATATATAGTCGCAAATTAAGTTATTAACTCTTCATCTATCGACCTTTGCATCTTGATATTAATTACTTGCATCCTCAATTATTTTAGGAAACTATTAAACACCAAACAACTTACTTCTCTTATTATATGATTTCTACTAAATACATGTACTATGTCTAACCTTTTAAGTTTTACATGAGTTAGACGCACATTTCAGCATGATAACAGAATTGGAATAAAATTTGTTCAATCTATCTGACTTATTTATGTATAAATATATTACACTGTTGAATTACTTTTCAAATTATTCAGAATGTTTGAAGTTGTAATGTAAATAAAGAATTATTGATATACCTTTTATCCATCTTATATAATCTTACCCTCTCATTTGTTTGTTTGAAGAAAGTTTCTAAAGATATAAGTGAGCCCCTTATTTATAACCTCCCCATGTGTTTTTTCAATCAGAACTCACACAACTACAATGATAACATGAAGTCGACTGTCATCGGCTTTGCAGCTTGATGCGTAACTTTTTGAACTCTCTCATTTTTTATACTACTGCATTGTAAATGTATATGTACATGCCAACAATTCAAAAATCTGCTTACCTAGATAGTTTTTTTTTTTTATAAATAATGTCTGTAAATCACTCAATGCTGTACTATCCTACCTATCAAAAAAAATTCTGAAGTGGCATGAAAATATTGTGCATTTGTGCCCATAATAATATTGGGCTTGTGCGCACGGGCAATGAACACCTAGTTTGTTAGAAGTGGCAAGTTCTCATATGTTTACTACCCAAAACCTAGCAGAGATGCCACTCTAGTTGTTTCCTATCTTATCAAAATAAAATGTCATTAAAACCCTCAATTTTCAAGGTACCCTATAGGATTTTAAAGGTGATAATAAATAGGGTGACAATTTCAGCCTCAAATTAAATCATTTTGTTCATATTAAATTAAATATTTCCTTTCATATTTCTAAATCAGTTAATATATTCTTCAACCTAATTAAGCTCATATAAATATGGACAAAATAGTTAACAATTCATCCCATATAAGTGAAATGAAACATATATTTTTTTTGTTTTTGGAAAATAAAAAAAATAGGAATCTGTTGGTGGAAGGTGGGTGGGGGTGGGTGCATTTTTTTAAGAAAAATTATTCATTTTGTTTTTGGAAAACAAAAAAAAATTAAGGGTAGGTTGGTGGAAGCTGGGTGCTGGGGGAGAGGTAAATTTTCTTTTGGAAAAACAATTTTTTTTGTTTTTGGAAAACAAAATTTTTTTAGGACAGGTTGGTAGGGGCGGGGGTAAGGGGTGTCGGCGCATAAGGGGTGCCAGTGGGAGGGGCAAGATTTTTCTTTTTGAAAAACAAGATTTTTTTTTGTTTTTGGAAAATAAATAAAAAATTAGGTAGGTTGGTGATAGGTGTCGGGGCACCCCGAGATGGGGAGTGCGCGGAGGGATATAATTTTTTTTTAAAAAGAAATTATTTAAATGGATTAAAACCAATTTACCCAAACCATATTTAACCAAATCTGTATTTGCTCATATTGTAGTTGAATGGATTGTAATTCAAACCATATTTTTTTCAAACTGTATTGAACTCATTCAAAGCGATCTAATCCAACCATTTATCACCCCTAATAATAAATATATTGTTCCTCCAAAGAAGTTTGGGTCTTCTTGCTTTGATCACACTAGAAATTCTGGGAAAATTGATCCTAGAGCCTTTAAGTGTGTCTTTATAAACTCCTATAAATTAAAAGTACAAATGTTATCATTCCCCCTCCAGGAGATCCTTTGCCAACATGGATGTTAACTTAAGACAGGTTGAGCCTTAATTCACCATTACAGCATCACCTATTCAAATGGCGAGCATTAAGAAAGTAGAGATGGTTCTCCCTAGTTCCACGATTGAAATATCTAATACAAGGGTAAGTGAAATTGGAGAAAATATTCATATGAATACTATTGGGCACTTGATTAGACTTGATTTAACAACTTACTCAAGGAGAAATAATAGAGCAAAAGAAGTCATTATGCAATATCTCGAAGCTGAATTCTCTTCTAGCAAAGAGTTATCTACATTTTCTAATAAGTTAGAATTGCCTATTGCATACAAAGGAGTAAACTTATATCAAACATCATTTATCTAATTTTGTCTTTTATAATTTCCCGTCTCCATAGATGAAGCCTTTGCTTTGCCTGTTTCCTACGATTTTTTACTTGTCTCCCTACAACCTTTGTGTTGTCTATTGTTTTAGTAGAATTGGAGGGAAGCTTTTGTAAATCCTCTATGAAATCAATCTATGATTGGAAAGCCTAAGGCCTTGTCAAAAATAAGACATGGGAACTTGTCAGGTCACCACCAGACAAGAAGTTGGTTTGCTACAAATGGGGCTTCACTATGAAACATAAAGTTGATGTTTCAATGAAATATTCAAATAAAAAATAGTGTGTTGGTGATTCACTCATGAAGATACATTTATTTTTGTAGCTTCAATGAATATTATTAGAATTCCTTCATCTTGTGTAGCTAATCTTGATTGAGAGTTGCAACAATTTGATGTCAAGAATGCGTTTCTTCAAGAGAACTTAAAAGAAGAGGTGTGTAAGGAGATCCATCTTGGATTTGATATTGAACAAATTCAAGGTATGCAGACTGAAAAAAACCTAGTAGATTTCGTAAAGCAATTATCTCCTTTGGTTACAAACAAAGCAATGTTTTTTTAGATAAGCGTAAATTTGTATTCAAAAACGAAATGCGTCATCCATGAAATGATGAATTAGAAACTTACATCCCATGTGTGATGGCCTGATGGTTACACCCCATAAGGTTAATCAGATTACAAGTTCCGTAAAAAAACTCAACTACTTCTGCCCCCCCCCCACCACCACCAAATCTTGTTTACACCAAAAGAATAGAAGACTAATATAGTTTGTTTAATCCTCTAAAAAGTATTTTTTTTGCCCTTCAAAGAACCTATGTTTCCTTCCTCCCATAAGGACCACCAGATACATGATGAATTAATGAGCTTCCACCCTTCTTCCTTTTTACCTCTCATTCCGACTCTTGGCCAATTGTTCAGAAGCTCCACAACAGTCTGTGGCATCACCTAACTAACCCCCTTAATGCATAAAAACATATTCCACATACTGGAAACTATTTGTTGGTGTATGAATAGATAGTTGTTCACTTAAGCTTTTTTTTTTACACATAAAGCACCTTGAACAAATTTGCATGCCTCTTTTCTATAGGGCATCATGAGTGAGACATGTTTTCTAGATTAGTAGCCAGAAAAACATGAGACTTCCAATGGATATTTAACCTTTCAAAGCATGTTCCATAGAAATCTATCAATCAGTGAGATGTTATAGTGCACTTTCCAATTGCATGATTTCACTGTATAGACCTCTTTGTTGTGTATCTTTCATATTGGCTTACCAGATCTCTGGGAAATTATTAAGAACTAACTTTTCCAATCATTGAATGCTCTGTTAAGAAGTAGATTCCACCCTATTGATTTCATACTTGTGCCAAATTATTATTGGTTTGTAGACTCAATGAATATAGGTGAGGTATTAAATTTCTCGAACTGTCCTCTCCCCTATCCATATTTCATTCCCGAACTCTGTCTTTATTCCATCCCCAACACTAATGCATATGTTGTTTCTAAAATGTGGTCATAGTCTTCTAATGGTCTTCCAAACACTACATCAAAATCTTCCCATAACCTCTTGAGTTGTCCACTGGTTAATTAAATCATACTTTCCTACTATAAATCTCCTCCATAAGGCTCTATCTTTAGTACAAAATCTCCATATTGGAGTAAACAATTGTTCTGGAGACTTAGGTTTTTTAGTCCTAAGCCTCTTTTGCTTCTGCTGAGTGTGAGAATATTCCATTCACCAAGTTTTAGCTATCTTTTCCCTGTTGCCTTACCAAAGAAAAGATATTCTCAACCTCTTTATTTTCTTCTAATGTTCTTGGAGACTGGAAATAGGCTCATCACATAAGGAGGCAATCTATCCAGTATTGACTTGACGAGGGTCACACTACCACCTCCTAGAGAATAATATTTTTTCCACCTGGTTAGTTTCTTCTCACATCTCTGCAACACCACATTGTACACTTCCAACTCTTTGGTATTAGCACCCAAAGGTAGTCTCAGATATTTTGTTGGTAGTGTATCTACTTGGCAACCTAATGTCTTGCAGATTGTCAATTTGGTTGATAGGGAAGAGATGAATCTTCAAATAGTTGACATGGGGGCCTGAAATGACCTCAGATATAGTGAGTATAGTCCTTATGTGTCTAATTTATGCCTTATCTGCCTCGCAAAATATAAGAGCATCATTAGCATAAAATAAGTGTGTGTTCTCCAACTCCTCCCTTCTCTCAGCAAGTGCACCTAAATCCTCTGACCCACTCATTATCATTTGCCTTCCTACACATATGATTCAACCCTTCCTTAGCTATTAAATATAGTAAAGGGGACTTAGGAAGTCCCTATCTATGATATTTCTCAAACTGGAAGAACCCTTCCATATTTTCATTTGTGAGAAAAGGAAAGTTTTGACACTTAAGATGTAGTATTTGGTCCTGCCAATCCACTTGCTACTGAATCCCGTGTCTTTTAGAATTTTTAGGAGGAAATTCCAGCTGACATGGTCATAGACTTTCTCAATGTCTAGCTTACATAGAATTCCTAGTTTCTTCTACTTTATCCTTGATTCTACCAATTCATTAGTCAACAATGTTGCATCCATTATTTGCCTACCTGTCAGAAAAGTCATTTTGTGTTCATAAACCGATTTCCCTATCACTGTCTTCATTCTCTCATTCAGCAACTTAAAGATAGATTTTATAGACTGCAATATCCAAAGCAATGTTGATCACACTCTATTCATAAGAGTAAGACATCAAAAAGGATGAACTTACTCTTCTCTGGAGGAGGTAAACAAGTTCATTCCAATTCAAAGTTCCCTAACTCTTCTAGCTGCAGTTCTCCTCTCCACTCAGAGAACCCCACAAATTTGTCCATCTTAATAGGCACATGAGGTTTTTGTTCTCCCAACTAGTTGTGCTTCTCAAGAAGTGCCTTGGAGTTTCCCTCCTCATTGCAGTTGGTGTAGAAGTAACTAATTTCCTAACACTTTGGAACTTCATAGGTTCTCTTTTTCCTAGAAGATTAAAGTCTAACTCCCAAATCTTACATGATACACTAGTTTTTCTCATCCCCAATGTCCCCGCCCTTTTTCCTCTTCAATCTCTCATTCCTTCTAGCAAAGTAATCCTCGTAAGATCGGCCTTTTTTTAATAAAGGACTTCAATGGTAAAATACTTCGGACGAGGTTCCCAATCATATTCTACGTTGTTTATAGCCCTCTTATAAAAAGAATGGTATTATATAAGAGCTTTTGACAATATATAATATGGAAGATAATCATTATTTATACCTAACAACATATCCTATAGAATATTTTCCTTACTCGAGTTTAGTTTTCTTTGTTTTGAGATCTTTGTATATATTCTCTGAAAATCCAACATGCCCCTCAAAATTGAAGTGAGAAAACAACTTGATCTTATTTTGGAAACATACAAAG